AAGGATGGTATGAATCCATGGGTTTTCAGTGTGTCAATCTAATGATTTAGTCATGCGAGTCAGCTGAGTGAACTGTAGCTGAAATGCATTTTAGGTGTTAGCAAGTGCACTTGCTAACAGAGTTGGCAGGTTCATGCTGATGTACAAACCAAGATTAATGGGCAAAGAGAGATTTTTGATTCCTACTAGTGACCTCAAACTGAGATAATCTGTAAAATATTATAAGACCTAAGTGTTTAGGGAGAGTGTACTGATGCTGAAACTTCAGGTCAGCAAAGACTCTCTGGATCATGTGCTTGGATACGCACGCTGAACCAAGGAGACAGAGTTTTGCGGTGGTTTTGGGGAGAGGGTACTGGTGGGTGTCTGTCCAGCTGCGTGAAAGGCACTGAGATGACTGACAGGCTCTAAATGAATACAGGGGTGAAAAAGCCTTCCATCTCCCAGCTGCCAGTTTTGGTTCGGCAGAGATGAGGAAGGACTGAAATTGCCGTCATCTTTCTGGTGATGGATGAGAAGTGAATCTGTGATCTCAGCATATTTCCTACTAGTATGTCTCCCCGTCAGCCCCCTTGCTTCTGCCACGAATGATACTAACAGGGTCTTTTATCGAAAACTGCCAGCCCAAGGGAACAAGGGGAATGGACCGTGAACATTGAAGTACCCTTTAAGTGCTGGGGTTTTCTTTGAGGCAAGCTGTAATGCTGCCTGTAGGATATGCTGGTACTGTTCAAGGTGTACCTTGGTCTGTCCTTCTGTAGACAGAAGCTCTGACTCCAAAGCTGCTCAGCTGGCGTTTCTCATCAGCACTGCTTTTTGCTTTGTTTTCTGGGCAGAAGGAGAATTAAATTACAGGTGTCTGTAATTCTTACACTTGAAATCTTCAGGACACTTTGTGCCTGCGCTGGGTCCTGCATTATTACCAAGATCTTTTGTTCTCTCTTGGAAGACTGGCTGCCTCACTCGATTTGCTTCTCTCGCTCTTGTTCCCCCCCCCCCCTTCTTTTTTTTTTTTTTAAATTTTGCTTGGCCTCTCCATGCTCTTAGGGCACACATTGTTCAGATGATAATCGTTTGTGCTCAGCCAGGGCATTAGACTGGATTTTGTTATTGCCTGCTGTATTAACTCCTGCAACTTTGCGGTAACATGTGGAAGTGACCAGAGGGAGCGGCCAACTTCATTAACACAAGTTTTGCAGAGAGCGTGTGTGACTGAAGCAAAACTTCATGGAACTGAAGCAGCTCTCAGCTCCTCCTCAGTGAAGCAGTTTATAGGGTCAGAGCCAGAAGGTCACAGTTACTCACCCGTTATTACTTCCTGAGCATTATTGTTATTTGTCCCTGAACAGGAGCTAGAGCAGGCATAGCTGCGTGCTATAAAGCAGGTAGATGGTTCCTGGGATCTGTAAGGAGAGTACTGATGTTAAATTTCATCCTGTTTCATCCCTGGGAAGGAGTAAGCATGCCTGAATGTTAGCATCATTTGAAGGACATTTAGGTGGCATCTGTGAAATGCATTTGGTTGGTTTCAGGTCAGTTCCTGGTGTGGGTTTGTCCCCTGCCACCTTTGGGCCCTGTAAAGAGACCAGAGGTGTGCTTGGATCAGAGAAGCTGACCTTGCCGTAGGTCAAATGTGAGGCTTGTTGAGATGTTTTGTAGAGGCACAGCTCCCTTTTCTGTGGTTTATGCTGTACTCAGACCCTGGGAAAGAGAGTAACTGTATTTCCTAAAATACAGAGTGCTTTGGAATACCTAACCCCCACCTGGATGCTCGGTGCAAGTACCTTCAAGTCCTGGATCCCCTCAGAAAAGGACCTGCTGCTTTTAGAATGGGGTTCTTCAAGCTGTCTCCAGCTGCGGCTTCATAAGATGGGGGCACCCCAAATCTCTTGGTAGTGCTGAAATCCTTGGTCTTGGTTCTTCTGCAAAACACCACGTGTTGTCGTGTGAGGGGGGTAACGGATGGCCCTTATTTCTGGTGTTTCTTGTCCAGCACTGCCATGCTCCCGAGGGTGAGGTTCTTGGAGAGAAGGATCCTTTCTGTGTACCACAGATATGCCGGATCTTAACTGGTTTTACTGGGAGCTGGGTGGCAGCTGACCCACATAAAGATAATTATATATAAAGAGAACACGTCGGCACCTGGTTTTGCACATTATACAATACGTAGTGTGCTTGTTCTGATGTCCGAGCCTTGCCAGTATGGTCTGCGCGGATCTTCAACAATCCAATAAAAGCTAATTGAGGAGGAAGAGGTTTTCTGTAGGTAGTAAGTAAGCTGAGGTTGTTCAGCCTGGCCTGGGAAAATCGGTTGCACAAAATCGGGGGCTTTTGAGGACTAAAATAGCGCGGTGCCTTTTGTTGCTAATAGCAAGTCAGCAGGAGTTGGGTGAGGACAGCATTCACCTGTATCAGTGTGCGCTGCAGGGGCGGATCATTACCTCCTAACCCCCGGGGAGGCCACGTAGCTCTGGCCGAGGTAGCGCAGGAAGCGGTGGGAGTTGACGCAGCTCCATTAAACCTACCCCATCTCAGGGAAATGCAGCCTGCGGTGGCAGCAGGTGTATCAGCGCTCCAGGCTGGGGCTGGACCCAGAGTTATTACCCACAATGGAGCAGACTCCACTGCGCTTGGCCTTTTTCTTTGCTCTTGGCACAGCTTCCCGCACACGCCGAGGGTCGTGCCTGACCCGTGCTGGCCAGCTGCCCTTGGCCAAACTGGGAACAGAAGCCCAGAAGCGCCAACGCTCGGAGCTGTAAAACTGGTAGCTGGTGTGTGTTAGTGCAAGTGTTCATGCAGACACAGGCTTAAAGGGTCTTGTCCGTGTTGTCACTTTAATGGCTACAATTATACTTAACTATGTTGAGCCAATCTGGCAGAAAGAACATGTTCAAACTGGCAGTTTATAATGTAACGTCCTACTAGGCAGTAAGGAAAGCAATGCCTTCCTGAGGAGAATAGGTTTTACATAGGCCATACAGCACAAATGTTTTAAAAAAAAAAAAAAAAAATCTTGAAAGCAATGCAAATTTTAAATTGTGTTGATGAGATGTCACATCTTGACCCCCTTCCCCTGCCCCCCCCC